TTTTCCTTAAGTTCCTGTGGAACTTTTTGGTGTTTCAGTTTCCGCCCGTTTCCTCTAGTTCTGTCGGTGGCCACCAGTGAAAAGAGGCCGGCCCCATCCTCCTCACTGCCTCCCTTGAGGTACTTCTAGACACTGCTCAGGTCCCCTCTCAGCCTTCTCTTCTCCAGGCTGAACAGGCCCAGCTCCCTCAGCCTCTCCTCACAGGGCAGAGGTGCCAGGCCCCTGATCATCCTTGTGGCCCTGCGCTGGCCTCTCTCCAGCAGCTCCACATCCCTCTTGTCCTGTGGAGCCCAGAACTGGACACAATACTCCAGATGTGGACACAATACTCCAGATGTGGCCTCAGCAGGGCTGAGCAGAGGGGCAGGATCCCCTCCCTCAACCTGCTGGAATGAGGTGGCTCTGGGGCAGCGCTGGGCACAGAGCCGGGCTGCAGCGCCCGGGCAGGAAAGGGCCGCGCGGTCGCCAGCCGCCAGGGGAAGCTCCTGTGAAACGTGGGGTTGTAACGTGTTGCAGCGCCTCAGCTGGGTGGGCTGTTTCCACACACCAGGACACCTTCCAAATGCAGCAGGTGCAAAAGTGTTAGGAGGGGGTCTCCTAAAAAAGGGATTTGAAAAAGGGTATCTTATGCACTGAGAGTTTGTGATATGTAGAGAGGAGGAAAAGTAACTTGGTCAGTGAAACTGTCATGTAATAAACCACAATTCTTGACTTGGAAGGAAATATAGAATCCCCTCCTGCCTTTAGCTAGTGTTAAGGTTAATATTTTGTTTGATAGGGCATATCTGTCCAGGATAACAGCTCAGGCAGTGTTAACCTTCAAGCAGTAAGTACAGATGTGCTGGCTGGAGCTGGAGAGCATCAATGCTGAACAAGCAGTGTTTGGACAGGCTATATTTAATTTTTTGATGAGTTTTATCTCTCTCTCCTTCACTCTCCTCTTACCTGCTCAGTAAGGCGATGTTCTCCCAGCCAGTGCGTGTCCTGTCGCTGGAATTCCAGCCGTGTACCTTCATCTGTCCATGTTTCCAGGAACTGAACTGCTCCTACAGCGACGTGTCGGCGCGGGAGCCCGAGCAGGTGCTGGGGGCCATCCTGTCCTCGCAGCAGCCGGAGCGGTGCCGCAAGGCGCAGGCGTTCGTGAGCGCGCAGGGGCTGCGGCCCGGCGCCGTGGCCGCGCTCGTGGCCGAGGAGATCGTGCGGGAGCTGCTGGCGTCTGCACAGGGGAGAGGTAGGTGGGGGTCTGCTCCTACCCCACGCTGCTCTTGCTTTGCAGAGTGACGTGTGTGTCTGAAACAGTCCTTGCTCTCAGGATATCTGAGCACAGTTCGTCATAGTTGATGTTGAGCAGCATTGTGTAGCCTTATACAAATACTATTTCTGCTTGCTTATTTTGTCCCTTATAGTATTGCTGTGATTAAAGGGTTTACTTTTTTATGGATGTAAATTTAGTGCTATAAAATGAGTGTTTGGGGGGTTTTTTTGTTTCGTTTTTTAATCACGATCTGTTCAACCCTGCATCACCTGCCTTGGAAAGATTCCTGTTAACTTCTCTGTAAAAAGCACAGCCCGAAGACTTTCTGTTCCCTGCAAAAAGAGAGATGCTGTCCAAAACTGTGAGCATCTCTGAGGGCTTTAGTAATCGAGCGAGTGGCTGTTCCGCAGCAGCAGCAGCGACGTGCCCTGCGGAACGGGCCCGGGCTGGGTTGTTGCGCCTCCTTCACGGGGTTCAGCTGCCTGACCCAGCAGAAGGAGTTTGCTGAGCTGGTGACTCAGGTGGGTCCATGAAGGAGCGTGAGCCCCTGCGAGGGCCGGGCTGGAGCAGGAGGGGAAGCAGCTCCTCTCCCAGCTGCCCGACCTGCTGCGTGTGTGAGATCGGATCCCTCGCTGCCCAACAGAGCAGGGGGTTGCACTGGATTGAGCTGGCCAGAAACAGCTTCTGATTCTTAAATTAAAGCAGTAGGATCAAAAGTGTCTTTGGAATGATTAAGTCCTAGGTCAGTCTGCAGACCAAGGTTATGTTGTTTTTGTTTTTGTTTCTTTTCTGTTAACATAGTTCACATCTCATGAACCGCTGGCACTTGTGACAGGGCTCTCTCTCTGCACCCACAGGACAAAAACAGGCCTTGAACCCTGCAGCAGAGAGCCAGGCCTTCCTGCAGCTGGCTAAGCTGTGCAAGGATCACACACTGGTTGGCATGAAATTGCTGGATAAAATATCTTCCGTGCCACGTGGGGAACTATCGTGCAGTAAGTAAATGGCAAATAACACTCAGTGCAACTAGTGCTTTATTAATGGTGATACGGTTGGTTTAAAATCACGTAGCAAAGAATGAAAACAATTCTGAGGAAGCATCTATTACTGATCTCAAATTTGATAGTTAAATAAATAGATCTGCAATTATGCACAGGAGATGAGCGTACTGTTTAACGGGTAGATTAGTTTACTTTTCATACAAAATACAGATTGTTTTGTATCAGTAGCTTAAAAATACAGTCAGTTGAGTTACCTGAACTTCTGTAGTTACCTGTTACAAAAGGAGAACCCTGTGGCTTTCTTCTTGTTAGCCATGGTTAAAACTGCTTTCTTTATCCATTTGTTATTTAACTTTCTAAATCTTTTGCTTCCAAAGTCCCTTGTGCATTTCATAGCTTTCTATATCACGGAGATGTAAATAGGTTTATGAACTGCAGCCAAGGTGCTTTTGGCAGCTCATCAATGAGCAATGCCAAAGTGAGATATTTTACTTATTTATTTAGGCTGTCCTTTCAACGGGCTTATTATGGGAAATTTAAGGGGGTGATTTTTGCATGAATGGTAACAAAAGGAGAACTGGAGAACCTCTTGTACTGTTTCATCCAGAGTGATAAGAAAAAGCATCTTCTAAAACACCTTCCTCAGAAATGCTTAAGTTGAAACCGTTCCTTTAGAATCCAGCCCTAACTGGGGAAATCTGAAAATCTTTGTGACAAAACAAATAAAAATATTGTTTCATGGTCCATGTAGTCTTTATGTCCCTGACAGATTTGCTCTGCTGTCAGCGCAGGACAATAAGGGAATGGCTTTTCCCCCTTTTTTGATCCGTTACGTAGTACAGTGGAAAACGGGTGTTAGTATTTTCACATGTAGCTTATTAAAAGATAAGAAACTCAGAAGAGTGAATGTTGGGAAGTAACAGGTTGCGCTGGGATACTGCAACCTGTCTCTGAAGTCTGTGTGTTATTTTACAATAGTTTTACACATAGAGAGATAATCAGTTTATTTAGAAATCTGTTGTTTGGTTTTCTGAATTTTAGCATGTTCTTTTCAAAATTTGCCTTTTTAAAGTAAGTTATGAGTTCATATACTACTTTTTTATTAAGTGAACTGCATGGTGCTTAGCGTATGATCTGGGGCTCCACTGTCACGATTACTTAAAGTATTAGATCAGACCTTTCACAGAAAATGGAATATAACCTGATTTTATTGCTTTAAGTAATATATTTAATATTTGGAATCTATGAAATTTTTCAAACCCATATCTGAAACTCGTGGCCTTTCTTTTACAAATGGGGAACTGGTGGTAGTGGAGTGCTGATGTATTTATTATACATTTGTCCCCCAGCCCTTGGCGAAGGGGTTTGCAATTTCTGTGTGCTGAATAAATAACATTTCCGAAAATGATGGAAAAGAAAACTATCCACAGGTTAAGAAACCAGACCGAGCATGCACTGTTACAGAAACTGTTGTTAAAATTCCACAGGACGTAGGTATAAGAGCTCAACTGTGTTACCCAATTCTGCTTTTGACTTGGGAGATTTTATACCCTCTGCAGAGATGGGAGCAGTTCTGCAAAGAGACATAATAATTGACTTGCTGAGCTCATTAACCACAACACGTGAGGTCTCGTGTTCTTCAGTTACAGAATTGCTGATTTTGGCCCATAACTGCTTCAGCCTGACTTGCCACATGGAGGGCATCACGAGAGTCCTGCAGGCCGCGCGGCTCCTCACGGACCAGCATCTGGCGCCCAAGGAGGAGTACGGGCTCGTGGTGGGTGTGTGCGCCGCTCCGGGTGTCCCGGGGACGTTCCCGAGGACACGGGAGCGGGTGCGAGTCCGGGCTGTGTGTGAGCAGACAACAGCGTTTCACCTCCGCTGCGCCGGGCGGGCGCCGGGGCCTGAGCGAGGGTGTGTGTCCGGTGGACACAGGCGCTCAGCGACGGGGTTTGGTATCGTGAAGGCTGTTATTCCTCTGGAAGGACAGCGGTAGGGAGAGCGGAATGCTGACGTGGGAGCAGCACAGTGGGTTAGGCTGGAGGTTTCCCAGCAGTTCAGCCCCCAGCGAGCGGGTGGTTTGCAGCGCCGTGCTGCCCTGCCCAGGGAGGGCTCCTCCAGGCCAAGGCGGGCTCCATACATTGGCACAGAGGGGCCTGGAAAACCCTCTGCACGCGAACGCTTGGGCAAAACGATGCCCTTGCACCTGCCAACGGAGAAGGGGCAGTCGGTTCCTGCAGAACATCCCCGTGGCCACGATCCGCGCGCGGGGGCTGCGCGGGGCCTGCTCCGTGCCCGGCCTCAAAACCGTCAGACACGTGTGTGTCTCCATGAGGAGCTGCTGGTTTTTGCACGGCGAGGAGGAATTGGAGCTTCTCATTACCACAGTGTCCAGAGCGTTGCTGTAGTTCGATAGTAATGAGCTCAGCCTAGATTTTCTTCTGGTGTTGGTTGAACGTGTTTGATCTGACTCATGTCAGTACTGCAGCGAGAACGGGCCCAGCTCCGCGATGACGCGTGCTGTTTTCATGGCCTGTTTTGGTTCTACTTGCAGCTATTTGGGGATTTCTCCAGCATTTTTAGAAATTATAAAATAGCAAATATTTATAACTTTCTTGCCACAAAAATAATTTAATTTTGATATTTTAATGTAAACTAATAAATATATAGCTACTGGGTTTTCTTATTTGACATAATGTAGTCCCCAGCTATATTGCCAAATATAATACTCCCATTATGTTTAAAAATAACGTGAAGAAACCTATAGTAGTATAATAATCACTTTTTGGAAAATTGTACCAGAATAGATTTGCTTGTGAGCGGTAAAATATGACTAAAGGACAGGTTCTTCACATGTTTAACCTGTTATTTGTCCCTCCGAGCAGAGCGGGACCCTGAAGACGGCTCTGCTGGACTACATCAAGCGCTGCCGCCCGGGCGACAGCGAGAAGCACAACATGATAGCCCTGTGCTTCAGCATGTGCCGAGAAATAGGGGAGAACCACGAGGCTGCTGCTCGCACTCAGCTTAAACTCATCGAGTCCCAGCCGTGGGGTGAGTGGCAAGAACAAGAAATACGAGTTCATTTGTGCTTTTTTTAATCTATCAGGTTGCTGCTGTGCTGTTGTCAGCACAACGCTACTGACTCCTGAAGTATGAAATTATCCTTTTATGTTGCGCGTTATGTGATTGTGTAAGGAGGAAGCTGTGATGGGTAAGTGCAGTTTTGGCTGTGGCGTGGTCCTGGTGACATCTATTCCCTTTCCACTCTCTGGAAGGAGTGAGTGGCCCTGGGATTGGACCTCAGCAAGGTGCATTTCCGAACGTAGCTGATAACAGTGCTTGTATCTGCTACAAGTGAATGATTTGCATTTCTTTCCAGTTCCTCAGTCACTTGATTAAGGCTCTTGCAATAGCTTTGGTCCATAAAAGAATGGGTATTTCTGCTGCTTCTTTTTATTCAGTGCTTTTATATACAAGAAACCAATTTAGTCTCTTGCTCCTTGCTGAAGCAATAGCAGCTACTGACTAGGCACCAGGAAGTATGTGTGTAGCTTATTTTGGCGTGTGTATACATGATGATTATTTGACTCAAGTTTTTAATTTTGTTTTTCAGAGGAGTCTCTTCAAGACGTAGCAAATTTAAAGAAGCTGCTGATGAAAGCTCTGACTCTCTTTATTGATGCAGCAGAAAGTTATTCTAAGGTAAAATGAGATGGAATGTATGACTTCTGTATAGCATTGAGAGCCCTCAGGCTGAACCGAAGCGGGAGAGGTGATGAAGCTGCTCCAAGGGGGTTCCACGGGGGGGATTCTGCAGAACCCGAGCAAAGGAAGCCCTCGTGCACCCGCAGTTCCGCGGGGTCCCGGCAGGCCCCACGAGTCTGTTACACCAAAGAGGTGTCTGTGCGCTGGTCCCTGCTCAGCCTTTAGCATCAGGGATTACAGGTGGGTCCCCTGATCTTGAAGAGGAGCAATCACAAGCTTAAATGCTTGACTCGAAAGGCAAACAGGAAGGGAGCAGTATAATGAGAGCTGAGACACTTCATGTTAAACTACCGCAGTGTTGTCAGTGTTAGCACATGCTGTGATCTGAAAGATAAAAGGAGACAACTTGGGAGCCTGTAGCGTTGTCTCAGGACAGGAACACGTCCTGCTTTTTTACAGAATGGCGCTTCTAAACGTTGGCTTTGTCTTTCTGGGCTAGGACTCCTGCGTGCGGCAGGCCTTGCGCTGCCGGCGGCTCACGAGGCTGATAACCCTCCAGCTGCACTTCCTGAACAGCAGCCAGAGCACCAGGGTCATCAACCTGGGCCGGCCGGCGCTGCCGGGCCGCGG